GCGTGATATTTCGGACGCGATGATGAATCTTCGGGTGTCAACGTCGCTTTTTAAGTAAAAAATTGAATGGGAGAAATTTGAGACCGTCAAATTTGCAAAATGTAAAATAGGAAAATTTGAAGAAAAAAAAAGTATAACGCAGGAAAAATGTTGTAGAGCCATTTGAATGCTTGAGTACTTCCCGCTTCTTCGGCGTTTCATCTCAGCGAAATCACGGAAAGTCCAAAAATATATTCCCAAAAGGATCACATAAATGCCGGAAGAGTTTTGAGCCGTTCGCTTTCGGCAGATGGCAGTTGATCTAAAATTTCGGCTATTTGTATGCCTGACATTTGCTGGCAGCCTTTGAGCTGTCCGAAACTGAGTTATTTTTTTTTTGCCGATCCAAATCGAAAGTGTTCTCATGAATTTTTCTGCGATGAAGCGAAGAATAATTATCCCGGAGAATGCCCTGAGATAGAGGCAGGGATCTGCCTCGAGGAATGCTCCTCTCACGAGGACTGTCGGGATTCGACCATCTGCTGTTTCAATGGGTGCGGGCACATCTGCACGCCGGCAGGTGAGGATCTCATTAATATTAAATGTTTTTATTATTTTATATTTTATTCTGTTTTTATTATTTATATTTTATTATGTTTTTATTATTTTATATTTTATTCTGTTTTTATTATTTATATTTTATTATGTTTTTATTATTTTATATTTTATTATGTGTTTTATATTTGATCTAAATATATGTTTTATCTGCGACTCAAGCGACTTCTTGCGAGGAGGCGTGGTGTCCGCCGGAGTTCGACTGCGTCTTGTCCCAGATCATCTGCGACGCGATGCCCGGCCTCTGCCCCGAAGTCACGCACTGCGTCCCTGAAGGTAGGTTCGAGGACCGGAAGGACTGAGATGAGTATCGCCTAGGTGATGGACGGGTTTCCTGCGGGTTGGAAGGTGTCGACGACGTTCTATGCCGGTTCGTCATATCCTTAGGGGCTATGGAAGAATTGCGAAAATTTTTCATTAAATCTTTGGAATATTTTCACTAATTCCCGAACGTTAACTTTAGAGGAAAGGATAAAGAATTGAGAACTATCCTCTATCTCGAGTGGGATTCTTCTGGTTAACCTACGTGGGAAAGAAATCGTTATTAGAAAGCAGGAACTTTCATTAGCAAAGCGCATTGCTCAGTGCCTAATTTTATTTAATCCCGTGCGAAGTTTCAACTCCATGCTAGTTCATGTGGAGTGCAAATATAGAAAAATTAGCATGTTGTACTTGAGGAAGGTCTCCTGGCTCTCCCTCTCCCATTATTATCAGATGAAAATATACGTTTTTTTCCTCGCCTTTCATGATTTGGTTCCGTGTCGTTTCCTGTCAGGTCACGTAACATGCGACGACATGACATGCGTGGAGGGATATCACTGCATCATGCAGGAGATGGGATGCGAGGACTGCTATCCCTACGCCGACTGCGTGCCAGACATCCTCCCCAAGAGACCGAAGATTCCCGATCACCTGTTCCGGCCTCCTCCGCCTGGAACCAAGATGAACCTCCTCCAGCTGATGGCCGGCGGGCGTCCGCTTCAACCGGTGGACCCCAGGATGTTCCAGGGCCAGAAATCGATCATTGATGAACTCGCGAAGGAATCCAGGGCCAAGTTCTTCGAGAGAGTCAAGAATAAGAAGTGAAAGGGAGGTCGATGGGGGTCAAGCCGGTTGGACAACTCCCTTCTAAGAGAATACAATTTCCTTAGAAACTCATTGATATCAATTTCTTCTCGTCTCGCTACCGTGATTGAGATGCACTACATCCTGCAATCGGTCTCATCTTGACTTTTTAGAGCTCTAATAATGCTTAGCGTATGGTCATGCACAGCAGAAAAAAATACAGCACCAAGGGAGTTTCTGGAGTTTCCATTCAGGAGTTCAATACGAACTCGAAGCAAGTTTCTAACTCCCCCCTGATTTCGTATCCTTAGAATAGCATTGTATCTTAATTGCCTTCGCCAGCACAAGGAGATCCTCGCGAGAATTATCTCGAAAGAATTACATTAAATTCATCTTTTCGGGTGCATCACATTGTCTTCGGCCAATAGGGGTTCGCCGTGACCATCCCTGTTTCTCTGGTAACTTCTGGTTACTCGAAGTGAGGTTATAGGAACAGACGCACAAGGAATCGAGGGCGATTAAGTGGCGCATTCATCGGAATTGACGGTGACTCTGCCTCTTCGTGATATTCTTGCGAGTGGAAGGATGAAAGCGAATTGCACCCCAGAGGGCGAGGATGAAGCAANATACTAGGTTGGCCAAAAAGTTCTGCAACACTTGCGAAAAAGTTGATTTTAATGCGCAAATTTATTTTAAAACAATAACAACTACTCTTCAAAATAAAGGCCTTCGTTTTCAACAATCTTTTGCCACCGATCTGCAAGCATCCGGATTTGATTGAAGTACCATTCTGCCGGCTTCGAATCGAAAAACTCCTGGCACGCTTCCTCAACTTTATCAAATGACTCGAATCGGCGACCACGCAAAAAGTAGTAGAAACAATAGCGTATCAAGACTCGAAGCTCGATTTTGTCCAATGTCATCTGAAACTTAAGGATAAAGATGAACCCGGAACACGATAAACACAAAAACAACAAAAATTGTGCATAAAACACTCAAAAAATTAACAAAAATGCGCATAAAAATAAACTTTTTCGCAAGTGTTGCAGAACTTTTTGGCCAACCTAATATTATTATTATTATTTTGCGTGATATTTCGGACGCGATGATGAATCTTCGGGTGTCAACGTCGCTTTTTAAGTAAAAAATTGAATGGGAGAAATTTGAGACTGTCAAATTTGCAAAATGTAAAATAGGAAAATTTGAAGAAAAAAAAGTATAACGCAGGAAAAATGTTGTAGAGCCATTAGAATGCTTGAGTACTTCCCGCTTCTTCGGCGTTTCATCTCAGCGATAATCACGGAAAGTCCAAAAATATATTCCCAAAAGGATCACACGAATGCCGGAAGAGTTTTGAGCCGTTCGCTTTCGGCAGATGGCAGTTGATCTAAAATTTCGGCTATTTGTATGCCTGACATTTGCTGGCTGAGTTATTTTTTTTTGCCGATCCAAATCGAAAGTGTTCTCATGAATTTTTCTGCGATGAAGCGAAGAATAATTATCCCGGAGAATGCCCTGAGATAGAGGCAGGGATCTGCCTCGAGGAATGCTCCTCTCACGAGGACTGTCGGGATTCGACCATCTGCTGTTTCAATGGGTGCGGGCACATCTGCACGCCGGCAGGTGAGGATCTCATTAATATTATGTTTTTATTATTTTATATTTTATTATGTTTTTATTATTTTATATTTTATGTTTTTTATTATTTTATATTTTATTATGTTTTTATTATTTTATATTTTATTATATGTTTTATATTTGATCTAAATATATGTTTTATCTGCGACACAAGCGACTTCTTGCGAGGAGGCGTGGTGTCCGCCGGAGTTCGACTGCGTCTTGTCCCAGATCATCTGCGACGCGATGCCCGGCCTCTGCCCCGAAGTCACGCACTGCGTCCCTGAAGGTAGGTTCGAGGACCGGAAGGACTGAGATGAGTATCGCCTAGGTGATGGACGGGTTTCCTGCGGGTTGGAAGGTGTCGACGACGTTCTATGCCGGTTCGTCATATCCTTAGGGGCTATGGAAGAATTGCGAAAATTTTTCATTAAATCTTTGGAATATTTTCACTAATTCCCGAACGTTAACTTTAGAGGAAAGGATAAAGAATTGAGAACTATCCTCTATCTCGAGTGGGATTCTTCTGGTTAACCTACGTGGGAAAGAAATCGTTATTAGAAAGCAGGAACTTTCATTAGCAAAGCGCATTGCTCAGTGCCTAATTTTATTTAATCCCGTGCGAAGTTTCAACTCCATGCTAGTTCATGTGGAGTGCAAATATAGAAAAATTAGCATGTTGTACTTGAGGAAGGTCTCCTGGCTCTCCCTCTCCCATTATTATCAGATGAAAATATACGTTTTTTTCCTCGCCTTTCATGATTTGGTTCCGTGTCGTTTCCTGTCAGGTCACGTAACATGCGACGACATGACATGCGTGGAGGGATATCACTGCATCATGCAGGAGATGGGATGCGAGGACTGCTATCCCTACGCCGACTGCGTGCCAGACATCCTCCCCAAGAGACCGAAGATTCCCGATCACCTGTTCCGGCCTCCTCCGCCTGGAACCAAGATGAACCTCCTCCAGCTGATGGCCGGCGGGCGTCCGCTTCAACCGGTGGACCCCAGGATGTTCCAGGGCCAGAAATCGATCATTGATGAACTCGCGAAGGAATCCAGGGCCAAGTTCTTCGAGAGAGTCAAGAATAAGAAGTGAAAGGGAGGTCGATGGGGGTCAAGCCGGTTGGACAACTCCCTTCTAAGAGAATACAATTTCCTTAGAAACTCATTGATATCAATTTCTTCTCGTCTCGCTACCGTGATTGAGATGCACTACATCCTGCAATCGGTCTCATCTTGACTTTTTAGAGCTCTAATAATGCTTAGCGTATGGTCATGCACAGCAGAAAAAAATACAGCACCAAGGGAGTTTCTGGAGTTTCCATTCAGGAGTTCAATACGAACTCGAAGCAAGTTTCTAACTCCCCCCTGATTTCGTATCCTTAGAATAGCATTGTATCTTAATTGCCTTCGCCAGCACAAGGAGATCCTCGCGAGAATTATCTCGAAAGAATTACATTAAATTCATCTTTTCGGGTGCATCACATTGTCTTCGGCCAATAGGGGTTCGCCGTGACCATCCCTGTTTCTCTGGTAACTTCTGGTTACTCGAAGTGAGGTTATAGGAACAGACGCACAAGGAATCGAGGGCGATTAAGTGGCGCATTCATCGGAATTGACGGTGACTCTGCCTCTTCGTGATATTCTTGCGAGTGGAAGGATGAAAGCGAATTGCACCCCAGAGGGCGAGGATGAAGCAAGGGTGAAGGGATGAAGTAAATATGAAGTAAGGATGAAGGAAGGATGAAATAAGGATGAAGGGTTGCACTCAGATCTTACAATAGAGAGCCACTTCTAGCCTTGCGAGGCTGGTCCCGATGGCAACATTGGCTGGGTCTTCCCGTCGAGGGAGAAAGAGCTCGAGGCCTGGAAGTACCCAGGTACTTCCAGGCTCTAACGCGAGGGGAACCTGGTCAGTCGCTCGGCCGAGATTCTCAAGGCCGGTTCCCCAAGTACCGATGGATCGTCCCATGGACGTTCCTAACATCCTGACATCCCACGACGGACATTTCATGGACATCCATGAAATGTCATCTATCCTACGTGGGACCCATATGGGATGTTTCAGGGATGTCCTGTTTTCCATCGGTTCCCCAGGACCCACGAATTGAATCCATCGTATCTATCTCCTTGTCTGGCCCGGAACCGAAGCGATAGAGGCGAAGCGAAGCCCGTGAGAAGCAGCCCACGTGACGCTGGTCCCAGCGCTCGCTTAGGGAGGATCTGGTTTTGCAATATGCGTTCCTGCAATATGCGTTACGTCCGTGTGCTGCTCGCGCTCTTGTCCGCGTCAGTCTCTGGTGGGTGAGTCTCCAATATTCAAGTTTTTTTCACATGAAATTTTTTTTACAATTTATTTATTCCAGTGAATTTGGAGTGAGACAATTATTGTATGTCGAGATTTATTTTCCCACCGGAGGAAAGTCGGCGCAAAATTAAGTTTCAACACGATTATTCGTCCATCCTTAAGTCGTATGTGTCTTCGGGGAGTTTTACTATAAGAAAAATCTTATATTGAAAAATGTTCTTATTTAAAACGGCAACCAGACCTGCCGGAAAGTGAACGGTTTCTTGCAACATCCAAATTTCCGCTAAAATCTCCAGCGAATCCCTTCAAAGTTTTCCTTCCCCGCACGAACAAAAGGGAAGTCCTTCCATCCCGGCGAATGCCCGCTGACGGAGGGAGGATGGTGCGTGGAGGAATGCTCCTCCCACGAGGACTGTCGGGAGTCCAGCCTCTGCTGCTTCAACGGATGCGGGCACGTCTGCACTCCGCCCGGTAAATCACTCGGATGTGTATTACGTTTTAGCATGACGGCGCGTTAAGCCAGGGCGAATACGAAGTGGCTTAAGTCTGCATATGAAAAATGGCATAAAAGCTTATTCAGAACGCTTTCGTGGGTATTCACGCATTATGAGAGATTTTAAGTTTCCAATGTTAAGTTCTCTTTATCGTGTCTGAACCTTTTTCTATGAAAAATTTTCTTTATTAATAAGACTACTGTTCACAAATTAATTAATTTATTATAAATGCATTTAGTGATTCATTGTCTTAATTTTTTTTAATTAACCATTTATTTATTGATTTCTAGCCTCTAGTTGCGAGGAGGCGTGGTGTCCCCCTGGTTTCAAATGCGTCATGTCCCAGATCGTCTGTGAGGCTCCGCCTGGCCGTTGCCCCGAAATCACGCACTGTATTCCCGAAGGTAGGCATCAGTACTAAGTCTGGACTGAGGAGACGCCACGTCCGAATGTTGAAGGACAAGGCGAAGGTGTCACGTGTATGCACAGTAAACACATGCAACAGAGTATGATTGGCTTGAATGTAAACTCAAAATATCGAGAAGCTTGTCCCAGCATTTCCTGATTCCTTGGTTGTGTGGTATCCGTATCAGATCACATTACGTGCGACGACATGACATGCGTGGAGGGATATCACTGCATCATGCAGGAGATGGGATGCGAGGACTGCTATCCCTACGCCGACTGCGTGCCAGACTTCCTCCGCGAGAGCTCGAGGGATGACCTGCTCCGGCCTCCTTCCCCTCGACCCAAAATGAACCTCCTCCAGCTGATGGCCGGAGGGCGTCCGCTTCAGCCGATGGACCCTAGGATGCTCCAAGACAAGAATTCTCTCCTTGGAGGAATCATTCAGGAAACCAAGGCCAAGTTCCTTGAGAAATTCGCCAAGAAGAAATGAGAGAGGCTTATGACAGATACCCTACAAGACAATAAAATTCTCTCATAATATCAAAACATTTTTTTTTTCTCCCGATCTTGCTGAGTCTTTTAGATTTCGAAGCTTCAGATTTCCCTAAAATTCACTCACTCAGATTACCAACATCCCCACTCCTCGACCTCAAAATGAGGAAGCTCAAGATTCTTTCCATGGTTGCCGAAATTAATTTCGCACGTAGCATATTAGCATATAGTATAACCAGAGGCTTCCACTCCGCTCAAATCCCATTCATTGACACGGTCGCTATATACGTCGCTGTCGACCCTCCATCTCGGGTTCGCACATCAACAACTCCATGGCCGAGCAGCGGACTCGACGAGACAAGCGTGTTACGTTGATGGATCTCTTTGGGTCGAATCCCGGAATGAGTCGATTCTTAATTCCGCCGCCACGAAGCACGTCTCATGGAAGTGTTGATAACAAGCCACCAGATGTCTCTGTAATATTTCGACCCTCCCCTACCCCTCAGAATGTCTCCTCTAGTTGCACTCTCTATGATATTAGCCTTGCTATGCAGACGAAAAAAAATGAGACCAGGAGTGACCTTGAATGCTTCCCCCCCCCCCCCTCTCCAACGCTCCAGGCCTTACACCTAGAAGGAAAGCTCGTTTCCAATGGTTGTATCCAAAGCAGAACAATGTGTCGTTTCCAGTGAGGAGTATCGCACGAGGTTAGGGGAAGGCAGGCTGGCCCTGCATCGGTTTCAGCGGTCAACGGCTGAGCTCGTGAATGTGTCCGTGTCGCTGAGGGTCGCCCCAAAATATTTATCTATGCCGTCCATTATGGAAAGAGACACGAAATGGAAGGATGTCGCACCCAGTCCTCCATGTCAGCGTCTAACTTCGCATCAGGCTTCGAACCCCAATGGTTCTTAGCTATGCGATCGAATGTAAGGGACTCCTATCGTGCAAAATGCAATTAATCGTGTTCTGCTCCTGATCGCATTCGTGTCGCGTTGGCGCGCTGATCGCTCGGGTGAGACTCGATTTTTCATTTATTTCTATTAAAGGAAATTGTTTTTTTTAATTATATATATTATTATTATTATTATTATTAGTTTGCAAAGCGAAATTGTTCGCATCTGCCGACGATTTTGATTTGCGAAAAAATGTTGAAACCGGCTTGGAGTGGAAATATGATGGACGGTCCTCTGATGGAACCGACTGGCATTGATTCTCCTGTACAAGAGGCAAATCACTTTAATGCATACTCTCATGGACAACGCCTAATTACGCGGTGCAAATTATTTGGCTGATTGTCGCCCATTCTTTTGAGCGGAGGCGTCACGCCGCAAGGGAATTTTATCACCGTTGCGGGATCTGCACGAGCCGATTTCGATCATATTTGGAAATCATCAAATCGTCAAGTTGATTTTTTTTTTTCACCTTTTGGGAACGAGGAACAGCGGAGTTTCTCCATCCCCATCATCGGGAGCGTTTGCGCGTCACCCGGTTAGGATTCGCTTGAGCTGGGCGGATTTGGCTCTGTCCTGCTTTTCAAGCGGCGCCGTGCGAGGCGCAGACGTTTTCCCGAAGTCGCACATTGTGTCCCCGGGGGTAAGTCCACTTACCTCAAAACGTGGTATAAAGACGTACTCGTTCTCGTTGCTTGTTGGAGATCGATGGTGTGAAAGAACTTAACGTTGTTCCATGACGTTCATACTTTCTTTCATTTAAAAAGTAATGAGGCTCCTCTTATCGACTGAAATGGCTGCGTCAGTCTCCATTTTCACTTTCTCTTATTGCCCCGCACTACTCTCAACTCTCCCTTTCCTTTTCCTTCCCTTTGTTCGGCACTTCCCTCCATCTTTCTAACAGCCCAACGCCACCGATATTTTTTTGCGACAATGAAGGAAAATGGAAACCCTCGATAAGGAACTAATGCCTCCTACTAGATCGGGATTCTCCGGTTTCTGCATCCGATTACGAGACGTGCGATGACGTCGAATGCGAGGAGGGACGTCACCGCATCATGCAGGAGGTCGGATGCGAGGACTGTTATCCCGTCGCCGAGTGCGTGCCAGACATCCATCACGAGAGTTTCAGGGATGACCTGATCCGGCCTCAGTCAAAAATGAATCTTCTCCGGTTGATGGCCGTGGGCGTCCGCTTCAACCGAAGAACTCTGGGTTGCTTGGTGGTAAGAAATCCCACTTTTACAGACTCTCTCATGGGTCCAGGGCGAAATCTCTTGAGAGACCTGCTCGATTTGTGTATTTCTTCAGGGAATGAAGTACTCTCTAAAATGCAGAAATTTAAGGAACTAATGCCGACTTCTAAACCGGACTCACGCAGCATGCCTTTTTTTTAATTTGCTGATTGATTTGATGTACGTTTCCTCATCAGATCACGAAACGTGCAATGATTGATTTCGAGGATGGACTGCATCATCTGATATGAGGACTGTTATTCCATCTCCGAATGCATATCCAAGTTGAGCCGCTGCTGCGATCTCCATCTCTGGACCACAAACGAAGCGGACTTCCTCCGGCTGATGGTAAGCGGACGGCCGCGACGATCGATGCATTCCGTGATGCTCCAGGATAAGAAATCCCGCTTTGATGGAATCTCTCTGGGATCCAAGGCTAAGTTCTTCGAGAGATTCCTTCTCGTTTCATTCGTTCGTCAGTCGTTCTCATTTATTCTTGAGGAAGAAATGAGGACTGGCCATGGCGGTTCGATAGCTCGCTTTCAAGACAAGAAAAATCTCATAAATTGAAAATAGTCTCTATCCTGGTTTCGCCAGGTCTGAGGAGCTCCGGACCTTCCAACCTGGCTTAAAATTCTCACACCCAGACTTCCATCTTAACTATTGTGTCTATTTAATCTCCACTATGTGAAATTGAAGGTAAATGGGAATTTTTCATCGGAATATGCTGGAGACCTACATAAATATATATATATATTTATTATTAAATAAAATGCCCTGACTTCTGCCATAACGCATTTGTCGCGGACTGCATACGAAAAAGTGAGTCCAGTTGCCGCCTCGAGGGCTCTCCCAACCACGTTGAAAGCTCAGTGAAGCTGATGAGATCCTAAAGTTGATCCTAAAATTCGTAGGATGTAGCGCAGACTTTTCGAAATGGGACGAGGCATCAAACAGAAGGAAATCCACCCCCGTCCTCCGGACCCCAATGGGGGGGGGGGGGTAATATTAGCACAACTGCAAGGCGACCGAAGATAAGGCGTTGAGAAGCGGCCCAGCTGACGCCCTTCTGCGCGGCTCCTGTCGGGCGTGAATGCAGATCTCATTGCGCAAATTGCGTTTCATCGTGGCTTTTCTGCTCTTGGTCGCATCCGCACGCGCTGATCGTTCGGGTGAGATTCGAATTTGTCTTTCTGGCTATTATGGGACGAACATTCTTTTTTATTACCCCGAAACTCCCTAAAGTCGATCTTGCAGGTTTAATTTTTCAAGGATTATTGGCATGGATTTGGCATGAAATGCGAACATGCAAGCGGGAATGTATTCTGCTGCCTCTCGGGCAGGTTAAAAAGATGAAATTTTCAACCGTGTCGAGGCACAACCAAGGATGATTTCGCTTCGAATTGTCTCATGGAAGCTGGAATCCAAAATTTGGGCAAAATTTTCGCTGTCGCTCCTGCCTACGGAGGCGTCAAGTCAACTTAATATCTTGAAGAGGCCTCACATGATGCCGATAGAATTTGATCGAATTTGAATTTGCATGAAACAGGGTTTCTTCACTCTGGGGAATGCCCCGAGATCGAGGTAGGAATCTGCCTCGAGGCATGCTCCTCCCACGATGACTGTCCTCTCTGGAACCTCTGCTGCTTCAACGGATGCGGGCACGTCTGTACTCCGCCCGGTATGGGTCCGAGTTGCGCGTCGTGCGGTGCGGTCGGTTTGCACATTTTCGTCTTGTGTTTTGGTTGCTTCTCCAGGGACTTCCTGCGAGGAGGCGTGGTGTCCTGCGGGGTTTCAATGCGTTATGGCCCAGAACCTGTGCGATGCTCTGCCAGGAGAATGTCCTGAATTTCCTCATTGTGTCCCCGAAGGTAGGTATGTAAAAACCTGTACTAAAGAAGCCATTTTCTCAGGCTGAATAGCTCAAGGTCGTTACACAAGGAAACTTTTGTTATTCGAATTTATCATTGAAAAAGTACGAGTAATGAGGCTCCCCATTCAATCAGCAGGAAGTCTATGTCAAACTCCATCCATCTCTACTCTCCGCTGTTTTTAAACCATTTCAACGCCATTTGTAATTCGTTATAATCACAATAGGAAATGAAGTCCCTTTTCATTGAATAAATGCCGACTGTCAGACAGGGCTTACCTAGCGTACGCTTTCTCAGGGGCTGATAAATGTATTGTGTCTGCATCAGATTACGAGACGTGCGATGACATCGAGTGCGAGGAGGGACATCATTGCATCATGCAGGAGATCGGATGCGAGGACTGTTATCCCGTCGCCGAGTGCGTGCCAGACATCCATCACGAGAGCTCGAGGAATGACCTGCTCCGGCCTCAACCCAAAATGAACCTCCTCCAGCTGATGGCCGGAGGGTGTCCGCTTCAGCCGGTGAGCGCTGGGATGCTCCGGGCCAAGAAAACGTCTTTTGAGGGACTCGCTAAGGGTCCCAGGGCGAAATTCCTTGAAAGATCCGCACGGTTTATCCTGTAATTCTTCGACGAATTAAATTCTCTTTGGAACTCCGAAAGTCTATAATTCCTTTTTTCGGTCCGATGTCACGCAGATGGATTTGGATGCTTGTTTTGCATTCAAAGATTTGTTGATGTTTGGATTTTTTCACTCTCCCCGCTACTGGGAGGGCGACTGGGCAAGATAGAGGTGAAAATTGACCGATTGGGACTGACACGGTCGTCAATACAGGATTTATTTTTACTCCTTTCAGGTGTTTTTGTTCTTTTTTTACCTGCATAATGTCGGAGATGGTCGTTGGAGCTCTAGATATTATGAGTTTTTCTTTTGCACGATGATAATACTTGTATATCTAGTATACATGCATATTTTTTAAAACATGGGAGACACGCAGCGGCGAAATCGAACATCGCAGCCCCACCTGACCCTCATGCTCAGCTGAAGTAGCGATTGAGTTGATTCGGTTGAGTTTAAAATGCTGCAGGAAAATGTGCGAGTTCTGAAGGTTTCTGTGCTGAAATATAGCACAGTGGTAGATATAGTAAATTTGTAAATACGAGTTTCGTTTATTAAAATTGGCATAGCCATTGCTCGGAAGTGCCTCTCCTTGAATTTCGCTCTGATTTTTTTCTCTGATTGTTTATCTCCACACTTGGCTCGTCTTTCATCCTTGACACGTCCGAGCATTTTGTTTGTATTTTCTTTGTTAAAAAAAAAATTGGAAAGGAGGAATCTAGACATTTTGCCTGCGGTCAAATGTGAAGGTCTCCCGTCTTTCCATTTTCTCTTTCAATTCCTTTTCGTCTTGACGTATCCGGTCGTTGTTCGATATCTGGTCCCCCCGAACGGCAAACGCCAGCGTGCAGCGTATCCCCGGCGACGACGGATTCCTAATATTAGCACAACTGCAAGGCGACCGAAGATAAGGCGTTGAGAAGCGGCCCAGCTGACGCCCTTCTGCGCGGCTCCTGTCGGGCGTGAGTGCAGACCTCACTGTGCAAAATGCATTTCATCGTGGCTTTTCTGCTCTTGGTCGCATCTGCACGCGCTGATCGTTCGGGTGAGACTCGAATTTGTCTTTCTGGCTATTATGGGACGAACATTCTTTTTTATTACCCCGAAACTCCCTAAAGTCGATCTTGCAGGCTTAATCTTTCAAGGATTATTGGCAAGGACTTGGCATGAAATGCGATCATGCAAACGGAAATATGTTCTGCTGCCTTTCGGGCTGGTGAACAGGATGGAATTTTCAACCATGTCGAGGAACAACCAAGGATGATTTCGCTTCGAATTGTCTCTTAGAAGCTGGAATCCAAGTTCGATCCAAATTCTGCGAGATGACATATTGCCAATTCCAAAATGACACTGAAATAGTTAAAGGAAAATTTTGTACCGTTGCTGACATGATGCCGATAGAATTTGATCGAATTTGCATGAAACAGGGTTTCTTCACCCCGGGGAATGCCCCGAGTTCGAAGTAGGAATCTGCCTCGAGGCATGCTCCTCCCACGATGACTGTCCTCTCTGGAACCTCTGCTGCTTCAACGGATGCGGGCACGTCTGCACTCCGCCCGGTATGGGTCCGAGTTGCGCGTCGTGTGATGCGGTCGGCTTGCACGATTTCGTCTTGTGCTTTTTTTTCTTCCTCTCCAGCGACTTCTTGCGAGGAGGCGTGGTGTCCCGCGGGGTTTCAATGCGTTATGGCTCAGATCCTGTGCGAGGCGCTGCCCGGGCTTTGTCCCGAAGTCACTCATTGTGTCCCCGAAGGTAGGTCCAAGTACCTGAAACCAGTACTGAATAAGCCCCTTTCCACAGGCTGAATAGCTCAAGATCGTTACACGACAAGGAAGCTTTTTTTTTTAATCCGAATTTCCCTTTAAAAAAGTTCGAGCAATGAGGCTCCCCATGCCATCAGCCGAAATTAAGTCCCGTGATGTCAAAGTATAAAACCTTTTGAACTCTCGAGTCATCGCCACCAGGTTTCGGCCGACACCTGCTGTTTTAAATAGTGAGCACACAGGACGAATTTAGGAATCCCAGTGATCAGATGGAGGACGGGAGGATGGTTTCTGTCTGAAGAGTCTCGCCATTCCCCTTTGGTAACGATTCCGGTGAATTCCATCGGTTTGGATTCTAAAGCGACACAACTTAAAATTTTTAAACAGATGCGGGTCCGCTCGATAGAGAAATATCTTGACCCTTGCATCGATCGTGTTGCGAGGTTGACGATCGAGTTTCCGGTCGGGTGCGATTTGAGATAATTTGAGATCTCGAGTTCTGAAACTCGGGGGACAAAACAGGCTTTGGACCTTAATTGGCCGAAAATTTTGCCTTATTGCCTGAAAATGGGACTTTCTTTGGACTGTCGATCCAAGAAGTATCGCCTCCGGTCGTACGGTTACGGTTACAGTTAGCTTACGGTTGACATCTCACTCGTGAAAATCCGATCATCTGTCTTGGAGGAGTTTCCCCGGAATGACACCCTGACACAGACAGATTATCCTCTTATGTATCTAATCTTATGATTAGAGATGACCGGACATCGATTTCACACAACCCATCCCTAAGAAAGAGGTTTTCTCGGCGTTTTGGGAAATTTTCATGAGTTCCAGATTTCCCGATGCAGCCGTCTTGCACGGTTTCCCATGCCAAAAGCACGATTCGCCACCCTGTCGTCGTGCACAGAATACCCTTCATTCTAAACCGTTCCACCTGGAAATGCGTTTCAACGCAGATCTGCGAGGGGCCCTCCGTCCCCCCTTGGGGCAAATACGTCATCAGAGACCTGGAGTTCTCAAGCTTAGAGGCCTAAGCGGGCTGCGGGCCGGCCATGTCAGCACAACACGATCCGCGGCTCGGGGCGACTCGGTCGATGATCGCGTTCTGGGTCGGGTCAGGGTCACGATTCGAATCGGGTCGATTGGGTTTCAACTCAAAAAAGACAACCCGTGCAGGCCTACGACACGCAGAACGACAGGAGAACCGGCAGAAACCACGTTCGCAGTGTACTTTTGGGACTTTTAACCCAATAAGTATCGCCTCCAGTTCGTAAGCTTTCGATTGACACCTCGCTCATGAAAATCCGTCCATCCGTCAAGGAGGAGTTTATCAGAACCTCTTTTGTATTTGGATGTCGACTGCCAGAGCGGGCTTACCTAGCGTACGCTTTCTCAGGGGCTGATAACTGTACTGTGTCTGCATCAGATTACGAGACGTGCGATGACATCGAGTGCGAGGAGGGACATCATTGCATCATGCAGGAGATCGGATGCGAGGACTGTTATCCCGTCGCCGAGTGCGTGCCAGACATCCATCACGAGAGCTCGAGGAATGACCTGCTCCGGCCTCAACCCAAAATGAACCTCCTCCAGCTGATGGCCGGAGGGTGTCCGCTTCAGCCGGTGAGCGCTGGGATGCTCCGGGCCAAGAAAACGNNGGGGGGGGGGGGGGTTGCGGTTCGCGAGTGTTGCCGATTCCGGAAGGCGAGGTCACATTATCGTTTTTTTTTTTTATAATGAAATTCTCGTTTCATCCTCCTGCGTCATATCGGTTTCGCCGCTTCTCCGTCTTGGCTCTCTCTCCCTCTCTCCAGCAATTAAATAACATAATTTATTAGTTTTTTCTTTTTAAGCGATGCTCCTTTGCGGAGAGACTCCAATATTCGAAGAAGTCTCTCCGAGAACCGAACTGCATTCGACCGGAAGCAACGGGAACGGGAACGGGAACGGGAACGGGAACGGGAACGGGAACGGGAACGGGAACGGGAACGGGAACTTGGAATATCGAATAAATCGGCCGAAATCAAATTTCCGCAAATTACTTTTCGGCGAAACCTGATTCATGTCGAGCCGATTTCCGCTTAGCTCGCGGAAACAGCGGCGTCGTTTAGAGTTTTTCATGGAAATGGCGTTGCTATCGATGGAATGTACTCTAGCGCCATCTATTCATTATTTGGGGCGTGCTATTCCCCGAGGCAGACCGAACTGGAGCATTTCTCTCTCTAGACTGTGGGAGAAAGTGCTTCGAAGAGCCCGGGGTTGGCTGGGATTAACGTTTTTTGGCGAAGCATTTCGAAGAAGGTGGCTCGTTCCTGGGTGGGCAGAATGCTCGTTCCTGGAATGGCAGACAGGTTCATCCGGATTATTTTTTCTCTGATTCGGCCTTTCATGCTTCAAATTCGCAGTTGCAAATTTGCACGGCAGTGCGTGGCTCTCGAGCGGCCCGACCGGATTCGGGGGCGAGAGGAGGGCGATGAGCCCAAGAGGAGGGCGATGAGCCCAAGAGGAGGGCGATGAGCCCGAGGGGAGATGAGGACCCCGATCCTCCGAACTGCGCTTTCGCCTGCACGCCTGAGGAAACCGGGCGTCATCAATCGCGTGTCATCCATCACGCCGTTTCGCGATGCGAGTCGCGTCTTTGGGTGCGTGCCCGGGGAATCCGCGGTTGCCCATTATGGAAGGAGGCAGGGAAGGAGGGCGCCTTTCAACCGGATGCCCGACCTCGTCTCGGTAAAAGGAGACGCTCATTGATCGAGTTCGCTTGCAGGTGGTGCAGGTGGTGTCGTGTTGCTCTGTGCTGCGAGTGAGGAGTCGACCATGCGTCTGCTGAGGTTCGAGGTAGGACTTCGAGGTCGGGCTTCGAGGCTAGGCTTCGAGGCTAGGCTTAAAGGAACGACGCGACGATGTAGGGCCAAGGTGAAGGGCACGCCGAGAACGGTGGACATCGCCGTGTTTCCTCCTCGACTCTCTCGTTTCCAACTGCCATCGGTCGAAGACATCGATCGACGTCTTCGCTTTACTTGGAATTCGTCGGGGCAAAAAAAAAAAAAAACGCAGTGCGCGTTTCAAAGTATTTTGCACGGGCTGCCAGTTCCTCGCAGGAGCAAACGACGCTAGCGCTTCTGGACGGGGAGGGCTGCGTCGCTTCTCCCTCCTTTTCCAGAATTTTTTGGTTCACGAAAAATTCTGCCCGAACAAGATTTGTTGTCCAGAGTCTGCCCTATCCAGGGGTGTAAATGAAGA